ATTAGACAAATATCACAAACTCGAGATCAAATTTCTCCATCTCACAGGATGACCATATGTTATGTCTCTACCGGTGAGGCTTTGAGACCACATGGCAATAACATTGCAAGAGAACCTAGGCCTACACTCCAGGTCATACTGTCAAGTGGCAATTCTAGCCAAACCCTATATTTTGCTGAAGTTGACCCTATAAACCGAACCTCCATAGATGAGGCGAGGTTAATGTGGGCTTGAAGGAAGATTTTTCATACAATCTTCAATAAGTGGGTGATGTGATAATTCACTGCTACTGTCGCTTCACCCAACCAAAAAGGTCAAATCTAAGTCGAGTCGGGTTTTGGGCAACAAAATAGTATTAATATTAAATGCTTATAATTGATTGATAACTATGATAAGAGGCCACAACCATTTGGATGACATCACGTGTCTTTACATCCAATGGTTCTTATTTATCATTTTATACTGTAAAAACTCACACAATGTGTCATTCTAGAGGTAATACAAATTTATGCTCTCAACATGTAATTGTTGCTCTCTCTACGCACTTATATTTCTTTCAAAATCGAACCCCTTTTTTAACATAAGAGGCTCGTGTCCAAAGCACCTCCATACTCAAATATATATTATTTCAACTCACTTGGTCTGGAGTGCACGTGGCTGCCTCCTCCACAGCTGAAGAAGGACACGTGTGGCTAATGTTTGTCGCAATGTGCAGGAATAGGCTCGCATAGATGCGAGAGGCCTTGAGATCTTTCGACCACGTTGTATGCACAAAAATCGAGATCAACAGCATGTTCCCATTATCCAAAGGAAGTCAAGATTCCACATTAAATTAAAAAACTCACAATTTAAACTAAACTTCCCAAATTCATAGCTTAGCTCCTTAAATAGAAAACTTTATAGACTGTAGATTCCCATATCGAAAAACTAGTATGCAGTGCATTATTACATGTTTCCATTATTCCTTAAATAGAAAACCTTAAAGCATGGCACGGATATTAGTATTGATGAACTCCAAGAACTACTGCTGAAAGCATTATAAAACCACCGTTTAAGATGCTTTAATAACATCCATTCCAACGCTAGCCTGCTAGGAGAAAACAACAAATTACTGCACTTGGGTATACATGTGTACATATTGAATTAAGCCTCCCGCATAGTTTATTTTTCATTTATTTCTTACTGAGAATCGGGGAACAAAGGATGAATAGAAACTTAAGATTCTTCTAGCTAGAGAACTTACCAAAAACTTGTGGTTCTCCTCGAGAAATGGTGAGAAAGTGGTGCAAAATTTTTTCATATCACTATTAACATCGCCTCTGCCACCTATGACATCCATAAACTTCTTCCTATCAGGGGCAAGTTTCATGGCAACCTGTAATTGCAATTTGGGATAAGCATTTGAAAAGATATACCCGACCGTAAAGTGAAAAGATCAGAAAACGTGTGTTAACATTCCAATTTCTGTTTCCGTGCACGCCTTCAGGAGAATCGAAGCTCTGGCAACTACTTTTCCTTTTGGTTAAGGGATGGGCATGAAATATGGCAGAATACTTGCTATAAGAAAAATTCAACCGAGGGGAAGGATGATAAATCTGTAAGCCATGAGAAAGTATGAACGACATTATTAAAAACATGTGAATAAGAAAGATGCTCCTGCTCTTCGATCTATGTGCTGCGGAACTGGCACATAGAACATTCGAGGCCACCAGGGCCTTCTATGTCATTTCAAATTATACAGTGGTTAAGATTTATAAAATTATCGAATTCTATCTATTACGGACATGGAGGGAGCTTTAACGTTGTGGCTAACTAACCGAACCTTTTTAACGAAGATTAGTTGAGCTATTGAGTACTCAATTTCAAAACATCTCTAGGCATAAATGACGATATCCCTTAATTATTGATTACAATTTAAGTGGCCTCTATAAAGAAAATCTTGACTTGACTCATTGAAAGTCAAAAAAATTCAAGCAATAAACATTAAAATTTAAAACATCATATCATATAAAAGCACTTACCGTAAAGTACTTATCAAAAAAAAAAAAAAAAGCACTTACCGTAAAGCTTGATCTGGCCAGCCAACCATGCCATTTTTTCAGCGTCTTGCCATAAGAATCACTGCATGCTTGGGACATGGACCAATCCTGATGCTCCAATAGATTCCGAAACAATCCCACCAAGAAATCCATTGCCCTAAGGAGTTCATGCACAAGTTAACTCATACTAGAATACATCATTCTTCAGAAACACACAAGCTCATGCTAGTAAATATCACAATGTTTGTGTATGTTTAACATATATACTCTTTATTCACGCAAGCATGTTAGAGTAGGAGTTTTGGCATTAGTCAAGTTGTGAAGCCTCAACAAACTTTAGTTTCCTGATTTTCCTTGTGAAAACTTCAAAATTACAGCAGAATTTTGAAAAAAAAGAAAAGGATCATGCCAACAAATGAGGATATCTTTCTAAACAAGGACTGTTTTTCTCACTCGTTTCTAAGAAGTGGTTAAGGAAGTCATCAACAGGCCATTGGTGTTGATTTACCCATGAAGAATTTTTCCATGTGGTTTTGGAAGAGGTGATCCTTAATATTTACATTTTTCATGCGTTCAGTGAATGGCAGCTAGAAGGCATTATGCTGGTGTATACTGGAATGGAAAAAAAAAAAAGCTAATAAAATGCTATACCTGGAAGCAAAGAGAAGGTGAAAGCTGTAAATTTTTACTTACCTCGTCAACCACAAAAGACCATCAGCACAACTGGATGAACCTTTAGCTGTCTTAGCCTCTTCTTGTACCATGCTGTACAAGTGGTTATATTGTGTAGGGTTGGACAAATACTTGTTTTCTAACCTCTATAGAAAATATGAGAAGATATAAGTTGGTTAGATAATAAAGCCAAAAAAAAAAATTTGAGAGAAAAGAATGGGTTAACAAATAGTCGACACACATTGGTTTGTTAATTTAAGTGAAAAAAGTTAAAGAACTAATACACTATTTTAAGGAAGATATCACCAAGATAGGTCAATCCATATGCATAAAGAAGAATAGAACATATTCAGGACTCTACAGCTACAGAAGCAGCCTCTAATAACTGATACTTCAACCCCAATTTCTATCTCAGGGTGCAAACAAGTTAAGCGGGAAATCAACCAAATCCCAACATTTGGAAAAGGGATATATAAATAACATTAAATTCAAAATTTTATTACAAAATCTCATATGTGAACACATTCATCAATTTACAAGCTAATGAAACAAAAAGAACAAGCTCTGTTTCCATAAGAATGGAGGGATAGAGTCTCACGATTATATTACCACCAATATCAGATTTGGCAAGTGCCATTGCAGGTCCAAACTTGTCTGCATTGAGCGCATGATAAAAATGAGCCAAACAGCATAAGCCAGGCCAGAAGGACCATGACTATACATTTCGAGCGGAAGAGGCATTATTATAACACCCCCGTTTCAAACTAACAAATTTACCAAGAGATCTGAGAAAAACAAGACTGAAACAGAACCTTTATGCTAACATGCAAATAAGAAATATCAAGTGTAGCAGATGCATTACTAACCCATAGCCTGGTATTAATTAGTATACACAAAATGACATCCATTGGTTGTTCCGTCACATGAACAGGCATTTTTTTTAAATTTTGAAAAGAGCTTGCAGTTTAGAGAAATTGTGGGAGATGATAATAAATGGCTTCATTCATGTAGAATTCACACCCAAATGACAATAAATAGCTTCATTCATGTAGAATTCACACCCAAACGTCCAGACCCTGTATGCATATAATTTTCCATAAATTGTATGCTATAGCTTCTAACCCTGGGTTGAGAGTATAGAATGCAAATTTCATTCCAACTACCAAACATGGAATGGTCGTCAGTTTATAGGAGCAGGTAATTTATAACTTAAATTTCACGCATAAGGGAATCAAAGAATTTCAGTTATTGGCATCTTAAAAATCATGCTGTAAGAAGACATGGATCTTCATCTCAAGCACTAAAAAGTAATGGCAAACTATAGGCACTGTCCAAACGACTACATCCAGCATGAAGCATTACTGGGTCAGAAATCTTTCACCAAGCGATAATTTGAACTTCAAATTAAATATACTCAATGGCCTGTCTAATTGTTTAATTAAACAAAATGAACTCCAAAACAAAAACGGAATCTGATAAATGAACGTAAACATATACCTATAACAGGTAAAATTTGCTTGCAAACATTCAGGAAAGGTTTGGTGAGCATCACCCCCTCTTCTGACTTGACATGCTTCATTCCTTCCAGAGCCTGAGTGAAGACTGTCCCCTCCATTTTTCTGGCTTAACTACACTCAAAAAAATTTCCAAAAAGAAAAATCAATACTTGCAGAAGTAATAAATGTGGGGACATGGGACTTTACGGTATGAGCCACACGGCATTTATCTTATGCCGAATCCTAAGTCCTCCATGAAACCAGTATAAGAAAATAAAATATCAGCCCAAAAATACCGAGTTAATTGTTTGAATACTCACTGAACTTTAAAGGGTGTCACATTTCACTCACTAAACTTTACTTTGCACCCAATTACTCACTGAACTTTGGAGTTAATTGTTTGAATATTCACTGAACTTTAAAGGGCGTCACGTTTCGCTTACTGAACTTTACTTTGCACCCAATTACTCACTGAACTTTGTAAACTTGCACTCCATCACTCATCGAGTTAGAGAGTTAATTGTTTGAATACTTACCGAACTTTACAAGACGTCACATTTCACCCACTCAACTTTACTTTGCACCCAATTACTCACTGAACTTTGTAAATTTGCACTTCATCACTCACTAGGAACCGTTTGTTCTGTTTGCCTATGTGGATGACGGCTTTAACACGTTGCAATTAAATTAGACAAACATAATAATAAATTGCCAAATCATATATCCAAAAGGACCCAAACATGCCTCATCGTTTTCACTCAAAAATGCCATGCCCAGTAAAGGAGAAAAAGAAGAAACAACAATCGCAATATACTAAAATTCACCTTCGAAGCGGCCTATTTTAAGAGATTAGGGTTCCAATCGTGATTTATGTGTTGAAAACGGTGAGGCATGTTTGGGTTCTTTTGGATATATGATTTGGCAATTTATTGTTATATTTGTCTAATTTAACTGCCACGTGTTAAAGCAGTCATCCACATAGGCAAACAGAACAAACGGTTCCTGGTGAGTGATGAAGTGCAAATTTACAAAGTTCAGTGAGTAATTGGGTGCAAAGTAAAGTTGAGTGGGTGAAATGTGACGTCTTGTAAAGTTCGGTAAGTATTCAAACAATTAACTTTTTAACCCGATGAGTGATGGAGTGCAAGTTTACAAAGTTCAGTAAGTAATTGGGTGCAAAGTAAAGTTCAGTGAGTGAAACGTGACGCCCTTCCAAAGTTCAGTGAGTAATTGGGTGCAAAGTAAAGTTCAGTGAATGAAACGTGACGCTCTTTAAAGTTCAGTGAGTATTCAAACAATTAACTCAAAAATACCTTCTCTTAAAGAGGGGAAATTCCAGGAACAGGAACAGGAAACAGATTGCAAAATAAATATATATAATGAATCCCAAAAAACTTAATTAATATATAGGAGATATATTCGAATAAGAATAATAATTGCATCCACACTTTTTATAAGGCATCTCACTTTAAATTCATCCCGGTTAAAAAATTTAAATTTTAAGAAAATACTATTTTCATCCACCGCATATTCCAATAATTTCCTTATAAATTCCCCAAAATATCATCTGCCTTCATCCTATGCATTTCTTTTGCTGCAATGAAGAAAAAATATCCAGATTCAGAGGATTGTCATCGCCCCTCTTCATGCTCTTTTACATTTTAGTTCTTTAGCAGTTTTTCTGCAATTATTGTCCATTACACAGCATATTAGGAATCTGATTAAGTTATCTCACTAAAGATTGGAATAAATTAACCTCCATTCCCAAATTTGGCAAAAGAAAATCAAAGAACTGGAAACGAGAAGAAAGCTACAGTGGAAAATAAGTGATTATAAAAAGTACAGAGAGAGAGAGAGAGAGAGAGCTACATTGGGATTTGAGAAACTGAAATTTGTTTTTGACTTTATGTTTTTTTTTTTAATATTATTCTAAGTTTATTCGTATAGAAATTTGACATCCGACGGATGATTTAGTAAAGTTATCATTTGTATGATTGCTTTAAAGATAAAATTGCCTTCTTTGGGCCAAAAAAAAAAAAAAAAAAAAAAATATTGCTTTGGT